CCAGGGATAGTGATGGTTATTTTTTAGATTTGACTACATGTTAAAATGAGAACTCATCCACTGTACATGTATGCTCCCACCCCAGAAGATGACCAAACCCACTTCATTTTGTTTTAATGCAAATATTAATAATTTGTTTAAAATGAATAATCTATAGCAAATGCTAAATTACACCAAGGCATCAGGACAATATGCAAGACCAGGACTTCCCATAGTAAGCTGGGCGGTATGACCACACTATTCACCTAGTTGTTGTGGGGATTAAGTCAATTACTATATGGAAAGTGCCTAAAACAATGCCCGGTATATAGTAAGCCCTCAATCAATGTTAGCTCTTATTACCATTATTTTTCTTACCATGGTTCAGCCTTAAAAAGCTTAAAGTACTGCCTTAGAGAAAAAGACGCCCTTTTCTAAGGGACACATAATTGGAAATGCCTCCTAATCTTTTTTTTTCCTCCAAAATTTACTTGTCAATGAAAATAATAGCCTTGACTGCAAAGGTCCAAACATGATTTGTTTTGTTCCCCACCTCCTTCTCACGTCTTAAATTTGTTAATTAAGCTTTGTTTTTTGAATGGCCATTTTGAGATGCATAGTCAAACTCCAGAACATCTCCATGCAAAACATCTAAACTTGGATTTCTCAGTTTTTTTGACAAAGCAGTGACTACCAATGCCAACTGGCATCTCTAAGGAGTCTCCCCTTAATGCCCGCCACTGTCAGCCTCTCAGGTGTCCTTCTTGCTCCTCTCTGCAGTGCCCAAACTATCTTGCTTTCTTCCTTATTTAACCCCAGCTCCTCTGGAGCCTCTGAAGTTGAGTTCATTCGACTTCATCACTGGTCTCCTTTATCACTGCTGTCATCTGCCAGCCTCCAGCCCTTAGTAGTTGATGACTTTAGGAACTCTTTCATTATCAGCTCAATACCCATGAATGCCATCTTTCGTGGAGGGTCTTCAATAACCAAATGGATAACTGGCCCCATCCTTGGCCTTTCAATTCCTGGACTGCCTCGCTGTCAATTTTTCCTCTGCTGGACCTTAGCCAAATACTCATGTTCATACCCTTACCCTTGTCTTTACATCCTGTGAAATCTTGATTTTTGAACTTTTCTTTCCCCCGCTCACCACTGGTTTTTGTCCTTCCGGCGCAGTTATTTTAATATTCTTATTTCAGCATTTCATTGACCTCAGTGAAATGGCCAATCCATGAGTAGCCAGTGTCTCCTTCATGTTCTCACTTTACCTACTTTAGAGTCCCTGGTTCATCACTACTGGTCCCTTGCAAGCACCCTTAACTCCCCTGCTCTCCCTCCCACTTTCCCTTCCTCTCCTCCAACTCCTCCGTTGTCTTTTTTAAAGCTACAGTGTTTTATTAGTTTTAAATGTACAACATAGTAATTCGATTCCATATATCACCTGGTGCTCATCATGACAAGTGCACTCCTTAATCCCCATCACCTATTTCACCCATCCCCCCGCCCACCTCCCCTCTGGTAACCACCAGTTTGTTCTCTGTAATTGAGTCTGTTTCCTGCTTGGTCTATCTCTGTTTTTCCTTTGCTGGTTTGTTGTTTCTTAAATTTCTTACATGAGTGAAATCATATGGTATTTGTCTTTCTCTGACTTATTTCACTTAGCATAATACTCTGTAGCTCCATCCATATTGTTGCAAATGACAAGATTTTGTTATTTTTTATGGATGAATAATATTCCATTATACATACACACACACACACACACAACCTCTTTTTTATCCATTCATCAATAATGGACACTTGGACTGCTTCCATATCTTGGCTATTGTAAATCATGCCGCTATAAACATCAGGGTGCATGTATCCCTTTAAATTAGTGTTTTTGTATTCTTTGGGTAAATACCCAGCTGTGCAATTGCTGGACAGTAGGGTAGTTCTGTCTTTAACTTTTTGAGGAACCTCCATACTGTTTTTCACAGTGGCTGTACCCATTTGCAGTCCCACCAACAGTGCTCAAGTGTTCCTTTTTCTCCACATCCTTGCCAACACCTGTTTGTTTCTTGTGTTGCTGAATACCTATTCTTTTCAAACTATTCCAAAAATAGAAAGGGAAGGAAAGTTTCCAAATTCATTCTATGAGGCCAGTATTATCTGGATACCAAAACCAGATAATAACACCACTAAAAAAGAGAACTATAGGCCAATATCCCTGATGAACATAGATGTAAAAATCCTCAATAAAATACTAGCAAACTGAATTCAACAATACATTAAAAAAATCATTCACCATGATCAAGTGGGATTTAATTTTGGGTTGCAAGAGTGGCTCAATATTTGCAAATCAATCAATGTTATACATCAATAAGAGAAAGGATAAGAACCATATGATCATTTCAATAGATGGAGAAAAAGCATTTGACAAGGCACAACATCCATTCATGATAAAATCCCCCAACAAAGTATGTTTAGAGGAAACATACCTCAACCTGATATAGGCCATCTATGAAAACCCACAGCTGACATCATCCTCAATGTGGAAAAACTAAGAGCTTTTCCCCTAAGGTCAGGAACAAGACAAGGATGTCTACTCTCACCACTTTTATTCAGCACAGTACTAGATGTCCTAGCCACAGCAATCAGACAAGAAAAAGAAAGAAAAGGCATCCAAATCAGTAAGGAAGAAGTAAAAAGCAAAACTTTCACTATTTGCAGATGACATGATACTATATATAGAAAACCCGAAAGACTCCACGAAAAAAACTGCTAGAAGTGATAAACGAATTCAGTAAAGTCACAGGATACAAAATCCACGTACAGAAATCTGTTGCATTTCTATACACCAATAATGAAGCAGCAGAAAGTGAAATTAAGTAATCCCATTTACAACTGCACCAAAAATAATAAGATACCTAGGAATAAACCTAACCAAAGAGGTGGGAGATCTGTACTCTGAAAACCGTAAAACACTGATGAAAGAAATTGAAGATGACACAAAGAAATAGAAAGATATTCCATGCTCCTGGGTTGGAAGATTTCTACAATAGCCTCCTAACTTATCTGCTGCTGCTATGCTTGACCCCATGGACCATCACTTGATATCCTGGTATTTGCTATGTTGAAACTAATTTGTGGATTCCAGTCAGTTGGAATGAAATCCATTCCTTTATACTGACCTGCAAAGTCCTGTATGAATCTGAAATCACCTATTCCTCCAACCTCATCTTCTTTCCTCCTGCCTGCTCTAGTATTGCCCAGGTTTCTGCAGACTTAAAATATGACTCAGTTGGGACTCTTGTGAAATTCTCAGTGACCTCCCCTTGCAGACTCTGATTCATAGGTTTAGGAATCTGTACAAGAAACTACTTTTAACAAGCACTCCATGTGACTCGTATGATAAGATACAGATACAGCCTAAGAATCTTCCACATAGCATTCCAAGGAAGTCCTCCCAATTATTCAGAATTGGGAAGCAAAATGAAACTCATTTTCCATTTCTGGTCTAGGAGAGTATGCAGTCAGTGGCCATCTACTATGCTAAGCCAGGGAATTCTGGGAATACAGTTTATGTGCTGGAATAACCTCACATTCCCGTAATTTCCTGGGTGGCACAGGTGCCATTTGTGCAGATTCCTGTGGCTGAGGATGAAGAAATCGTTATCATCAACAAGGAGGCAAGGAGGAGAAAGTTGAGAAAGGCTTGATACTCAACAGTATACAGCAAAGAGAATGTGTGTTTCCGTAGGCTATGATAGGGCAAGATATTCCTAAGAGGTAGAGAAGAAAAACAGGGCAATCAGCCAGATACCAGTCTAGAGTATGTGCAGGAAACATTTTGGTAGATGAGGTCAGGACTCTGTGAGCTCATATGCATACGAGCTCCTCAACGTAACCAATATCCAAATCACAATAAATGTTTAGCTTTGCATCTAGGTATTTGGAAGCATTAAGATTGACAGTGAAACATTTCTGGCTTTCTTCCAACAGAGTAGTATATAACTATGGCTTTAATAGCAAGTTTAATTTCTTACATTTTAGGGGAGCAGATTTTGAAAAGTATCTGTCATTTCCTGTATGTAAAATTTTAACTTCAGTCCTCTAGCGACTGGCACTAGGATCCTCCATATCAAAGGGCATGTTTCTCTCCCACAATCTGAAACTGAAAACAAGGGCAAGCCTCCTGGTGTCGCATATGAAATTGGATCATAAGTCAGAATAGTGCTTTTCCAACGTGTACACATGCTGAAATTCCCTGGGGGGAGCTTTAGAAATCCTCACTACTGTGCCCCATCCCAAGACTGGGATTTAATTGCTGTGGGGTGTGGCCAAGGTTTGGGATTTTGAAAGATCTGCAGGCTATTCTAAGGGGTAGGCAAGTTTAGGAACCACGGAGCTACTGATTTTGAGCATCTGTCTGAAACCTCAAACCTCTGGATGGTGTAGAATTTGGGTTTATGCATTAAAGTTTAAGTTGAGACAATGAGATCAGTTTGATTGGATTTATCAAGTTGTGACCAACCTGGGTAGGGACCTTATTTACATAAAACCAGAGCAATTGATGAGAAAGTCAGTTGAGGTAGCTATGTACACAAAGTCACATACACACAAATTATTAATGTTCAAAACAACAGGATTTTAAAGCAATTTTGTCAAATTGAGTATAGATCTCCAATTAGAGTTGCCCGATAAAACACAGGGCTCCCAGTTAAATCTTAATTTCAGATCAACAAATAATTCATTAATATAAGTATCTCCTGTGCAATACTTGGGACATCTTTATACCAAATGCTGTTTGTTGATTTAAACTTCAAGTTTAACTGCATGCCTTGTGCTTTTATTTGCTAAATGCAACAACCCTGCCCCAATTTTAAAGGACTGAGCACTAATTCAGTCTAGTAGGACACCTCAGGACCAAAATTAACCTTAGCCTCTTGCTCATTATGTATTCTATTTTCTGAATTGCACTGCCTGGGTAACTACCTCAAGCTCTACCCGACTTTGTCTGCGCTGAGGGTCAACTGTACCTTATTCTGTCTCTTCTGTCTTCTCCGGAGCCGCAGGAGCTCCTTGTGTTGTCTGGAGACAAAGTTCACGGCCGCGTACTCGAGTAAGGCAGCAAACACAAACAGAAGGCACACCGCCATCCAGATGTCAATCGCTTTCACGTAGGAGACCTGAAAGAGAGAGAGAGAGAGACAGAGGAGGGGGGCACTGTGAAAACTCATGGAGAAATCGGGTTCCTCGTGTTGTGAGAAGCAGAACACCTCATTTTCCTTCATCAAGGATTTTCTCTCCTTTCCTTAAGAGAGAGCTTAAGCATTTTCCTTTCCACTTTGCAGACTCAGGCTGAGCAGTGAAAATGACATGCCCTTTGCCCCAGGCCTTTTGTTCTGTCTCTCTCAGTATAAGCCCATCTGCTCAAGTAGCCTCATCCCTGAGACCAGCTCCAAAGATGACTACAAGAATTTCCTTAATGGAAAAAAAAAAAGAAAAAACAAAATTTTGAAGCTGCTTATTTCCTTCCATTTTTTCTTAATATTTAAAAACTAGTATAATTAAGATCATTCCAAAACCTTGGATGAGAAAGAAGCTATCTATGTGTGGCTTTGGACCCTTCAAAAACCCATTTGTAATTTCCATCAATCTATTGATCCTGACAATTAAAACACATTTCTAAATGGTTTTAAATTATCACAATTCAAAAATATTCAACCTAGGTAAAACATCAGGGCTCTGGTCTTGGGAAGGGATCTGGTTAAAAAGGAAATTTTTAACACTTCAATGGTTGGCTGAGTGTTCAGTATCCCTTAAAATTTGAGAAATCAGATTCTGAAAGCAAATAGTTTTTACTTGCAATGGAAAGTGCCCCTCATCTCACCTCATTCCCACTTATTTTTTTTAAAATAACTAGATGGTGTTGTAACCTACTGGACCCCAGACTACAAAAGATACTTATCAAACTGCTGGCTGAGTGTGTACTATCTAACTCTAAGTTTTATTAAAAAGATTTATCTATTTATTTGAGAGAGAGAGAGGGAGGGAGAGGGAGAGCACACAAGCAATGGAGGGGCAGAGGGACAGGGAGAAAAGCAGACTTCCTGCTGAGGAGGAGCCTGCAGTGCTCGATCTCAGGACCCTGAAATCATGACCTGAGCCAAAATCAAGAGTCAGACACTTAACCGACTGAGCCACCCAGGCACCTCACTGTAACTTTTTTTAAAAGACTTATTTATGTGAGAGAGAGCAAGCGCGAGAGCATGCGTTGGGGGTGGGCAGAGGGAGAGGGAGAGAGAGAATCTCTAGTACACTCTCCCCTGAGTGTGGAGTCTGATGTGGGGCTCAATCCCATGACCCTGAGATCATGACCTGAGCCACAATCAAGATGCTTAGCCAACTGAGCCACCCAGGCGCCCCTAGCTCTAACTTTTAAATAGGGTTTCCAATTATTTTGATATCAGACACTGAGTGTTTACCAGCCAGTACCATAAGTATTTTACGTGCATTTTCTAACCATCACAACAACTGTATTACTCCCATTTTCTGATGAGGAAACTGGAGAAGGGTTAAATTATTACTCAAGGTCACAGAGCTAGTTAAATGACAGAGCTAAGATTGGAATTGGATACCAGTCTGACTGGTGGATTTACACACACACACAAACATGCTACTAGGATTATACAGTTTGTATCTTACATTTCTCTTTGATCTTTAGAGTGAACATTTCTTACATCATTTAACTGTCTTCTAAATCATGCTTGCATAATGGTCCAGACCACGATGAATCATTTTGTATTACAGGGCATCTAGGTGATTTGAAGTTCTATTGTTCGCTACTATAAACTTTGGGGCTATGAACATCCTTCCCCTAAAATATTTGGCTGTATCTCTAATTATTTGTCAGATCAGTTTTTAGAGTGGGATTATGGGAATAAATGATAGGAAAACCAGCTTCTGACTGAGAAAGTTAAGAGCAACACAGTGGATGAAAAAGCAGGGGCTCCAGAGTGAGATGCCCCAAGCAGAAAAGAGCGCCCTGTTCCTGACTAACTCTATCATTTTGCCAAATAGTTAAACCTCTTTCTGCCTCCCATCCTTGTCTCTGTAATAGGGACAATAATACCTATCTCAGAGTTACGTGGCGAAGATCACTTAATATATGCAAAGTGCTTAGAATAGTGTCTGGCACAGAATAAGTGCTATATAAATGTTTGCAATTATTCGTCTACATAAGGGTGTGATTTTGTTAATGGAGAAATTTTGGAAGAGAGAGAAAGATCAAGGAAAATAAAAAAAAAATCACCCATGATCCTAATATATTCCAATTCTTATTTTTAAGGTTACCACCTGCTTTACACTGTTCGTCTCAGTCAACCTGATCTTCTCGTCAGTCCCACATATGTTGTGACAATGTGGTCCAGTACTTTGTCATCTCCAGCATTTTGAATAGATCACCCTTCCTACCTGGGATGCTTATTCTCATTCTTTCTGATTCACAGACTCCTCAGAATCCTTCAGGACTTGACTCAGATGTCGGCTCACCTGGGAAGCCTCCCCAACCTTCCAGCTTTCTGCCTTCTGGGTTAGGAGCCACTTTTCTTTGCTCTCTCATCATTCTCTATTGAACTTGTCCGTTCTTACTCCATGAACTTCCCTGATCCCACCACTAGACTATAAGCAGTTTTTTTTTTTTTTTGGACAGGCTCTGTATTATTAATCTCTGTATCACCAGCACAGGACCTAGGAAATAGTAAGCATTGGATATGTGGGATGGATGGATGGATAAATCAGTGATTGAATGACAGAAGGAATGATGGAAATATCAGGCCATCTTTCCATCTTTGTATTAAATTTCAACAATTCTACACTATGTAACATTACTCACAGTTGCATGTATTTGATACTTCTAGGAGTGGACTGTTAGTGCATTTTAATTCTCTCAGCACCCTTAGCATGCCTGGAATGTTTCTTCCCTTAATAAGCAATCATTTGTCTTGTGTTTGCTCTTCTGGAGCAATCCTGTTCCACTGTAATTTGTCTTATAGTTGCTCTTGTGGAGCAATCCTGTTCTCCTGTAATAATAGAACATTACCAATCACAGCATTCCCAGTTATATATTATTCAGAAGGCCCGTAAATGTTTTAAGACCCAATAATGAGAGGAATTTGTCAGTGCCTGAGATATGTCCATACCACAAGCTAAGTCCAATAGAGCTGACCATCATTCCTCCCCTTCCTGGTGTTTATAGCATTTAGTAATTTGTAAACCTTTCCCCCATCTCGTTCTGGTCATCAGCAGGCCAAGCACGTATTTGGCTTCTTTTATAGCTGCTCATAAATGAGTCCTTTCAGTCTCTTAATCATTTTGGTTGGTCTCTGAGTTTCCTCCAAATTATGAACATCTTTCCAGCACTGAAGTGCTGGCATTAAATGCATTATTCACACGGATTTAGAGGGTGTTGTGAGACAACTATTACATGTGATGTGATGTCCCTTGGTGCTAGTCTCTGAGGATTGAAATGCCTTTTTGTTGCTTTTACCCAGCTCTGATGTCAGATTCTCTCTCTTTGGCTGCTAATCCCTAGATGTTGTTAGCTCACATCTTCCCCTGTCACATTCTTTTTATGATTCTTGGGCTTACATGATTGCTTCCTGAACTACTTTACTACAGTCTTGCAAAAAATAGTTTTCAAAGGTAATTAAGCTCTCAAAATGCTATTATGACTCACTGAGTTGGTATCTTTCCAGGCATATTTAATTCAGGAAAATAAACATTGAGGGCCTACTGTGTGGAAGGCACTGTACTAGGTGGTGGTGGGAGGTATGGCAAAAAATACAAGGATAACTAAGATGCACATTGATACTTTCCAGATTATACTTCAGAGGACCCCGTTCACACTGTGCTCCAGAAAGTGACATTCCCATACATCACAGAGAAGCAAATCAGGGCTTACGGATCAAATTTGGCCCACCACATGTTTTAGAAATAAAGTTTTATTGGGGCACAGCCATACTCCTTCATTTACATATTGTCTATGGCTGCTTTTACACTAAAATGGCACAGTTGAATAGTTGTGACAGAGCCCATATGGCCTGCAAAAACCTTAAATACTTACTATGAGGTCCTTTACAGAAAACATCTGCTATCCCCTGACCTAGACTGTAGCGTTGTCTGGTTTGTCCCGGGGTTATACATCACAGTAGCACTGCTTGGTGCTTGAGAAACTCCTGGTCTACTGAGGGACACAGTCAAGTGAACATATAACTGATACACAGTAGATGGTCCCCTGTGTCAAGGTAGAAGAAAAACCAAAAGGCTGTTGGAATATGGGGAGGTTGATGTTGACAGGGAAGATCAGAAAAGGCTTCATTCTTCAGTGATGTGACATTTGACTCAGGGTTTGTGGAAAGCTGGGACTTTGGTGGGTGGAAACAGCTATAGAAGCAAAGCCATGAAGATGGGAGAGTAGGTTGGCTCAGGGATCGCGAACAGCCTCGTAACCAGGATATGCTAGGTACCTGGCAAGTGCATGGTGGAGTGTGAACAGATAGGCTGGGCCAGCACATTGAAGGCCAGGCCAAGGGGTTTGGGTGTCGGACTGCTCTTAAAAATAAGCTAATGTGGTTTTGAGGTGGGTATAGATGTGTAAGACCTTTTCTAATTATCCTGGTGTTTTTTGTCTTCAAAAGCCAGAGTCTTAGCAAAAGCAGACATTTTCCCTCCTTACCAAAATTTGTCTTCCTTCCTCTTGCCACTTTCAACTCTACACGAGGCCTGTTCTCTTCCAAGCATTCTAACAACATCTCTCAATCCTTTGCTGGATCTTCTTCTATTTGTAATTTGTGTTCCTTGAGCTCTACCTCTTTGATTTTTCCTTCTGTCTTCATGTCCTCAATGAATCCATCCACTCCTATAGTTTTCTTCTTGTTCGTGTGTGTGTGTGTGTGTGTGTGTGTGTGTGTGTGTGTGTGCCCATGTCTGTGTCCGTCCTATAGCAGAGATTGGCCAAGTTCTCATGAATCCCACTTCCTTTTCCTGGACCACCAGTAAGATAAATTTGCCACTTTAGTTGGATCCCCCATGCAATGTGGGCAGAAGTGCTATATGCACTTCAGGGCCTCTAAAATCTCCCATGAGATCCTTATGATTCAACCCTTCTGCAACCACCTTGGATGTC